AAGGATCCTATAAACATAAATAATTCGAATCTGATGATTATTGGTACAAAAATACCATAATAAAACTGTTGCCAAGCACGCAGTAAACCAAGAAGCAGGTAGGAGGAGGCAGGGGCCCCCAGTGGATGTGGGCAGCGCCGGGCGAGGGTACTCACAAACTTGAGCAGGAAGGTGTTCTCCCGGAGGGCCCCAATGCAGCCGGCAAAGCCCAGCACTGACATGATGCCTCCTACCACTACAAACAGCCACACAGGATCAAGGCCTCCTAGATCTGTCAGCGCCGAGATGTTGGAGAGAACGCCCTGTGCCACAGGAGCAGAGGAAGTGGGGAGGCTGACCCTCCCACCACCTCGACCCAAGGAAATCCTACACCCTAGTACATTGCCTTACCTTCTCAGCCCAGGCCCAGAGGCCAATAGCCAGGAACAGGGCTCCCAGCACCTGCAGGAGCAGAGCAAAAAGCTGAGGGCTGGGGCACCATGATCCTTCCTCATCCCCAGACCAGCTCCTCCCCACTAGGACTCAGGATCTTCTGGAAGCCAGGGAGAGAAAGGAAGAAGGGGAAAGGCTGTAAATGGGATCCAGGGTCCTTTCCACCCTCTCAAGAATATATCTCAGTGCTGAAGATTCCACAGGACACAGGCTGGAAGACTGACCCCTCCCTATCCCTGGAACTCAGAACGGGAGCAGAAGGCGGCAGACACACTCCAACCAAGCCACAGCAGCAGTCTCCTGAGCCTCTTCTCTGCCCCCCTCTCCCAAGTCCAGCCCTCCTGCTACCCTGCTACTCTGACTTCCACCCCACCCCCACTCCTGACTGAAGACCCCTGAATGGCAAGGAATCCAGATGCAGAGCAGGAGCCAGCTGAGGGGCCCCAGCCTGTGTCAACGGCTTCGCTCTAGGAAACATCTAACCACAGCTCTGTCCAAGCCTTCCAAACACCACCCACCAACCTGCCTCAATTCCTTACTAGAAAGAGCCCTGGATCTTGACATACAGTCTTAAAAGGAAACCACCCCTCCTGCCCAAGCCCAGGGCCACGACCCCACCTCTGCAGACCTACACCACCCACCTGCTTTCACAGACTCCCTCCTCTCAGCACACAGCCTCTGCCAACCACAAGCTCCACCAGTGACCACCCACTTTTAACACCTTCCCCTTCCTGACCTCAGGCTCCTCCCACTGCTATGCTCTCTCTAGAAATGTTTTTCCTTCCCTCCCCCAACCAGGGGGTTCCACATGTGAAACCCCTGCCTTATCCCACCTGACTGCCTGTGACCTTTAGACAAGCAACCAACCACTACTTTCTCTTTCTTGAGCCCCTCCATGGTTAAGGTAACACAATGCCATTCCTCCCTCTGCCCCTTCTCAGCCTCCCTCCCAGGACACTCTGCTTCACCTGCCCCATGCACATGGCCACCCCCGCACCCCTGCCCACCACGAGGTTCCAACCTCATCCTTCTGCCCTTTGTCCTCCTCACCCTCATTTTCCACCCCATCATGATATTGGCATCTCCCAGATCTCCATCCAAACCTCTCCCTGGCTCCAGACCCCTCCAGGTCCCAGACTTTGTTCCATGCATTGGGCTACACCAGCAAACAGAACAGATGAGTTCTCAGCCCTCATGGAGTTTACCCTCCAGGGGGGGTAAATCTACAGTGAGCAAACAAGGTAATTTCAGATACCAACAGATCCTTTAAAGAAAATCACAGAGGGTAATGCAGTGGGGAGTGACTGGGGGTGGTGGGAGCACACTTTAGTTAGGGAAAGTGGTGACATTTTAGATGAAGTTAGAGGGCTGACGAGGTAGGGTGATCAGAGAATTCCAGGCAAAGGGACTGTCAAAGGCCTTGGAGGTAGTATCATGTTTGGTGGTGCAAGTCCTAAAATGAAGGACAGCAGGGCCAGACCCCACGGGGTGTTGGAGGCCATGGGGAGGAGTCTGGACTGTATTCTAGTGAGAACCATTGGGAGGTTCTGAGTAGGATAACACCAGGGTCTGCTTCCCACTAAAAAAAAAAAAAAAATCTCTGGGCCTATATCATTGGCACCTCCCTCAGACCACGTTGACCCAAACCTGAAACTCTCCCCCAAGCCCCCAGGAGGCCCAGGCCTGTCAATTAAGCCTCATAACTTACCCTGGAGCCTTCCTCACCTTTTCTACTCCCCAGCCCCGCTAGTCTCTTCACCTCCAAGCCCTGCCCCTCACCCACCCACCCCTGGAGACAGTCAGATCCATTACCCAACATTGAAGCCCTCACTGCTCCACAGTTCCCTCAATATAAAACTCAACTCTGCCCCAACCCTGGAGCCTTTCAGGCTCTGTCTCTCCACCCCCACTCACCTGCCTGGGAGGCCCCCCAGGAGCGAGCCTGGGTCTCTCATGCCTGTCCCCACTTGGCATTTGGGGGCTCCCTCTGCTCAATGCTCTGCCTTACAGAGCTCTGCCTACTGCCCACTGGGCTGTTACCTTGGCTCTGTGCTTACTAGCTGTGTGATTTGGTTAAATGACTTAGCCTCTCTGTGCCTGTTCCCTCAACTGTAAAATGCAGTTATTAATAAAGTAGCTATACAAATACAGGAAGTTAGAATTCATTTAATCTACCTAACAACTCTGAGGGACAGGCTTCATTATCACCCCCTCTCAGTCAGAGAAGCTGAGGCCAGGAAAGGAGAAGTGACTTACCCCTAGTCTCACAGGAGGCCTGCTACACCCACACCTCCAGGCTTCCCCACCAGTGCCCTCTGCACAATGCCACACCCTCCTGAGCTGAGCACCACTAAGGCCAAAGGACACCCGCCCACGGGTGACTGCCTGAGCAGCATGTGGGAAAAGGGCAGCACCTCTGAGCCCTGCTGAGCAAAACTCAATGGGACTGGCCGGTGGACCCAGGGTGGCAGGAAGGCCGCAGGCGCAGACTGCAGAAGCAGCAAGCAGCCTTGGAGAGATGGGCGGGAGAAAAGAAAGATGACTTGGCAGGGCCTAGGGGCATAGATGCCACCCTGGGAGAGGCACTAGCAGCTCCCTTCTCCAGCCAAAGGCAGCCCCGCCCTAGAGGGGTTTTGTCAGCTGTGAAATGTTGAATTCTGTTCCCTAGGGCCAAGGCCAGCAACTCAACAGAGGAGATGCCCCCAACTGAAAAACTAGGCTTATTGGCCCTCCCAGCCCGAAAGCCTCTCAGTGTGGGACTGGAAGGGTGCAGGTTTGACCCACCCATCTTTGCAGGAGCTTAAGAGGAGGCCGCAGGCCCAGGTGTTGCAGGGGCAAAAGGGGTGGGGGAGCAGATTCGGCCCTTCTTGCACCACAACTCTGCTCTGTAGCGGCTAAATAAGGGGTGGAGCTGCGCGCGCAACCCACACCCCAGCACAGCAAGTGAGCTGGGCGGGAGAGGGGGTGACCCGCACCAATCTTGCCCCTGGGGCCGTCAAGGAAAAACCTCCCCTTTCTCCACCTGGCTTTGGGGAGACACCAGGAGGCTTCCCTCCCCCACCCTACCCCCTGCACCCTGAGCCGCTCCAAACCTCCCTCAGGTGGTCTTGGAGGTGGGCGTGGAGCCGGGAATGGGAGGAAGGAGTAGGGGTACGGTCCCAGCCCCTTGTAGGGGGTGTGGTCTCCCCCCAGTAGGGCACTGAACCTCCCGTCCCGCAATCCGCAGGACAGGGCCCGGAACCCAACCCCGCGCTCACCCAGAAGACAATGTTGAAGCCGAACAGGAAGTATTTCCCACAGCAGCCGACCTCGGGTTCCTGGAAGTGCTGGTGCTTGCCTGGCATGGTGAGCGGCCGGCCGCCCGCCCGCTGGGGAACGGGAGCCGGGAGCTCTACCCAACCCTCCACGGGCCGCCCTGGGCTGGAGCCGCCCGGGGCCTAGCCCGGCGGCTGCGGCTTCATGGCCGCCACCACACAGAGAGCCGGTCGGGCCCCGCCCGCCCCCCAGGGACCGCCCCCGGTGCCCGGAATGTCCAGCTGGTAGCCCACTTGGTTCCCTCGGAGCCACGGCCGCCTCTAGGCCTGACTCCGCCCCCGCCCTAGGCCCCGCCCCCAACCAGACTCGGTCTTCTCTGAGCTTTGCTCCGCCCCCACCTCCTCTGTCCCCTCTGAGCCCCGCCCCAGACAGGCTCCGCAGTCGCCCCAGGCTCCGCCCCTCGGAGCCCTGCCTCCAGGTCCGAGTCCACGCTCGACCCAGGCTGTCCCACGCGGTAGCGGACGCAGAGTTCTCCCGGGTCCTTCAGACCTGCCTGCGACGCGTACTGATGGCGCCCCAAGTCGCAGGTACTAAGGATCGCCAGTTCCCCCCACCCCGCAAGGCTTAATACGAGCGCCACCCCAATCCCCGGCTTTGCTGTTGGAGCCTGAAAAAGAGTAACTGCTGAGCTGGTGAGCTGATGGAGATCGTATTTTTAACACACATGCAGGACGTTTTATTACAGCGGAGTCCAAGCAGAGGCGCTATTCGCTCAACGGAAATTCAGCTCTAGGTATCCTGGCTCAAACTCAGGCTAGGTGACCCCTGGGGTCTTGTGAGGGACTTGACCCGCTCTCCCCTGCCCCTTCAGTTTTGCTGGGAGCATATATACCCCACTCCCTGGCTCAAACCCCTTTTGCTTTTAAAGTACTTCCTTTGCCCCTCACCCCTTTCCATCACACCAGCTTGGGCCCTGACCAGGCCCCTTGCTACCTGCGGGGGTCTCACATGAGTTTTCTCAAGGCAGTACAGGAAGAAATCAAAGTTTTGAGAGAGCCTGAATCTTACTCAATTTTAGAGCCCTCAAAAATAATTCCAATATTGTTCAAAAGTGAGTATTTATTAGATAGAACAGGTACAGAAAGAGCCTTAAGCTTCATCACGTCCCAGTTAATCCTCCTCTAATAGACAAGGTGAAGTCTGACCACCACCCTCCTCTCCTGGCCCTCACCCACCCACCTCCACTTCAGCCTGGCCATACAGGGCTGTCTCATTTGTCAACTCCCACCTCTGTGAGATGATGGGGTTCTGCCTCTAAGCCTCCAGCTCTTGAATGGCCCCACCCTTTGGACCACCCACAGCTGGTTGAGGGAAAGTACAGGTTATAGGGTAGGCTCCAAGGCTACAGATCTGATGAGAGGCTACTCAAAGGTTTTAAAGCAGAATGGTCACAGAGAGCTCTCTGTGCCAACTCCTGTCCCTAAACTCCAGCTTTCAGTGTCAGTGGCTTTGAGCCCCCTACCCCAAAATGGAAGAGTCTAGCCCTCAACCACCAGGTGCCTTTCGCAGGGGGCACAGAGTACTAGATCTGAGGATTCTCTCCCATCTGTTCTCTTCCCACCTTTGGTTGAGCCCTCCTTTCCCCAGTGACTCACCCCACACCTCCCTACCCAACCCCAGGGATGGAACAAGGAAATTCAGGGGTTTCCTCCACCTTTCTGCCCTGGGTCCTCAGGCTGACCCCACTACCACCACAGAGCTGGCCCTAGGCTTAGACCCCAACTCCTGTTAAAGAGTGTTCACATTCCTCCAGGACAGGTAAAAACTGGGTTATCTGTCCCCCAATCTTGCCCAACATCAGCAGTGCAGCCCAGAACCTCCCTACACACCCAGCATTGAGAGACTCAGGAGCGCCTGACTCAGGGGGAGTGGCATCAAGGGCCCCTCACATCACAAACTTGTTTTTGGCAAGAGAGTTGCTCTTGGTGGCTGTATCTGCGTGGGCCTGGTACCCAATGACGGTCTTTGTGGAGAGGCCCAGGCGCTCTTTGTAGACACGCCTGGGGAGTGGGAGAAGAAATGAGACAGTCAGCAGCAGGTCCTGGAGATAACCTGAGACCCTGGGTCCTTCTCTGGTTAGTCACTCCTGTTTTGTCTGTCTTACCCATGTGGAAAGCCTAAATACGGCTCTTTAGTGCAGAAGAGTTCTGCTAGAAACAGTTTGAAATCTAGATTCCAAACCTTTTATATAGGTGGGTAAGAAGAAGGGGGAGATGACATGAGAGTTCCAAAGGTCACTCTGGCATGCCAAGCCACCCTCAACTCACCTTCTCCCCTAGAAGGCATCCCCCACCCTGTACCAGAGATACCCCTCACCCGATGTGCAGCACACCCTCCTGGTTCTCTGCTGCCCTTGTCCATATGGCAATCTTGTCCCCCTTGGCTCGGATATTGATGACGGCCCCACACACCTCCCGGTTGTGCTCCTCAAAGCTCTCCCCGATCAGACACAGCAGCTGAGGCCAGAAGGGCGGATGGTAAGACCTCCAGCTTGGGCACAGGGACTGTCCCCACCATCCTTGAGACTACTGCCGCACCAGCCTGGCCCCCCCAGCCCCACCACTTACTGTCTCCAGCCACAGGCGGTCCAGCTCACTGTGGCGCTGCTGCTTGGCGAGGCTGACCAGCCAGCGGCCACCTCTCTTATTTCTGCTATCTTCCCACATGGGCTCGATGCCATCCTGGGAGACAGGATGGCAAATCAACTGCCCTCCTTTTGTTCAAAGGGAAGTGGGGACCTAGCCACCTTCCCAGGCCCTGCTCTAGCCCCTAAATAGTCCTCCACAGGTCAGGTTCTCCCTTGCCTGCATTCCCTCTGTATAAGCAGGCTCCATCACCAGCCAGCCCCTCAGTCCCCCACACCCTCCTCTGAGCACCCACAGGTCCCTAAGCCTCAGTATTTGTCACCTTTTGTAGCCTTGCATGTGTCTGTGTATGTCTCCTATATTGAACCAAGTTCCTGGAGACAAATTTCAAATGGGTAATTCAGGAAGCCTCTGGGGCAACCAGTGTGGCCAAGGGCAGACAACCCAGGCTCAGCTGGGACCTGTCACCTGGGGAAATCTTTAAACACTGATGTCAGGGCCCCGCCTCGCACACCTGCAGGGCCAGCACCTCTGGGACTGGCCCCAGACATTGCCTAGGGGTGTCCTCAGGTAATTCTGATTCCTTCTCCTAAAGAGCCAGACCACAAACCTGGGCTCCTGGTTCCTGAACCTTCTCCCCACCTCCCCTTCCAGACTCTTAAAGGTCCTTCGAAGTGCAGCTGTGTTCAAGCTTCTGTTCAAAAGAGCCTCAAATGGGAAATCCTATGTCCACTCCGAGGGAGACTGTCCAAAGCCCCCCACCCAAGCCCCCTATGGGGAGGAACACAGCAAAAGCTAGGAAGAATCAGTCCCCCCAGTTGATTCAAAGGGGCCAGAATCAGAGGAGCCGCCAGCAGAGCCTACCTTAAACAGGGCGTAGTCACAGCCGGAGGAAAGCTTACTGGCCAACTGGATGTGACTGTACATCCTGGAGAAAGCCCCCAACCCCAGGCTGAAAGTCCAGGCTTTTTAGGGCCTGCTTCCAACTGGCCTCAGTCCCCTCAACTTCTTACCGGCCCCGCTGCTTTCCTTCAGGCCTTCAAGCTTTGCTCACACTTGCTCTTCTTCCCCCAACCAAATTCCATTCCTACTTACCCAAACCCTCAGACCCCACCTTCTGCCTGGAGCCTTCCCTGACCACCCAAGCCCCTGGGGAGGCTTTCAGAGCCCTGATGCCAGCTTTGTTTCTGGTACCCTTCCACCTGAAGCCCCAGGCCCCTCCCCTCCACCCCGGGGTTTGCACAGAACTTTGCATATGCCCCTATCACCCGTGGACACTCTCGGGAGGCCTAATCCTCAATTTGTGGCTGAGACAAGCTCAGAGAGTAAAAGGAACTTGCCTAGGGTCACAAAGTCATGGAGTGGCAGAGCCAAGGTCAACTCCTTGCTTCTCCCACCCACCAGGCTCTCTCCCTAAGCCCCAAGAAGTCTCTGGGGGGGGCCTCTACCCCAGCCCCATTGACAGCACCAAGCCCCAGCCCTCAGCAAATGCTGAAAGGCCCCAGGGAGGGGCTAGGAAAGCCGTGTAGGAATGTCCCCCACTCCCTACCGGGAGGTATGAGGGCTCAAGAGGCCCCTGGCTTTGGCCTCCCTTTGAGGGGGTTAGGCACTTACGCCCAGAAGTCCTCCACAGTGTCAAACTTGGTGATCAGATGCAAATTGTCCTGCCAGGCACGGCTGCGGTCATTCTTGAAGAACCACAGAGCCCACCTGAAGAAAAGGATGGCCAGGAGGAAGCAGAGAGCCCCCAGCCCCACCCTCAGCAGCAACTAGGCTGGCAGGACAGTCCTGCCCTTTCAAGGACAAACTGGGAGATGGGATTTGGGATACAGGCTCCCCAGAGGGCCAGGGAAGAGTGGAGGCATTTAACCCAGACTCTCAGCTGGGTAAAGGCTGGAAGGACCATCAGGGACCAAGTGCTAGGCCAGCTCTGACCTTTCCCAGATGAGAAACTGCAGGCCAGAGAGGAAGGCATGGTCAAGGCCACAGCCCTGGGGCCAGCCTTACCTGTTCAGCAGCGGGTGCAACGCCAGCTTGGCTCCCGCAGGGCCCTCATCCTGGGCCTTCTTCCTCAGGGGCCGCAGGGCCCTGGGAGAGCTTAGAGCCTCCTCTCCCCCTGACATCCACACGGCAGCTGTCTCCTCTTTCTCCTTCTCCCGCTTTCGGATTCCACCCTCAACCTCTCTGGCCTGACCAAAGAAAGGAGTCAGGGTGGGTAGTGAGCCCTGGCCTGGCCAGCCCAGCCCCTACCTTCACTGCCCAAGGGGCAGGCAGATGGACTTACAGGGCTGGCAGTCGCCATGCTCCTCGCAGGAAGGCAGGCATCCAAGGAGGCGCCCAGCTGCCGGCTTTTAGCCTTCCGGGGTCTTGCCCCCACTGCCCAGGGGTAGAAGGAGAGGGAGGAGCCACCATGAGGGTGGAGGAGGGCTTGCAGGGGGAAGAGCTTATATAGTCCTTCATTAGCAAGCATTTAATGAGCACCTTCTGCATGCAGGCTGATGACACAGCTATGACAAAGCAGACCCAGTCCCTGCCCACATGGCACTGATCATGTCAAGGCTGACAGGACTGCCTTAGTGAAACAGCATCCCACCAAGGGATGGACATCAATTGGACAGGCCCAGAGACAGCAGAAACAGCAACTGACGTAGCCAGGGGCTGTGGCCACATCAGAGACCTTATACATGCATAGTGGTGTCTCCTTGTTTGTCTCTGCTGCCACTTACGCCTTGATTTGGCCACTGATGTCGTCTGACACAGGCATTTATCTGGTCTTTGGAACCATCTGAGGTTTTTTTTTTAATGTAATCATTTAGAAACAGGGAGATTTCTATGAAAAATTCACATTTTTGGTTACCCTTGAAAATCTGGGAAGGTCTGGCAACACTGGGGCTTCCACCTCATAGGCCCATGATCTGCTGCAGCTGAGGCTGCCCGCAGGAAGGGCAGACGGGGCTCCACTTAGCCCCACTGGCCCGTTGCTCTCATGCTACTTACCTTCTGGCCCACCTGAGTGTTCTCCGCCTGGGTGCTGATGGCAAGGGGGTAGTGTGACAGTCACCCCACCTGGGTTCAATTCCTCCCTACCCTGACCTAAGCCAAGTACTTGGACCTAACTGAGTCTCAGTTTCCCCATCTGTAAAACCAGAATGTTAATGATCCACACTCAGAAGCTTGTTGTCTTAAATGATATAAAACACGTAAAGCCCATAAAACAAGGCCTGGCTCGGTGGTCAACAGAAGTCAGCTGAGTGCTCCCCTAGGCTAGAGGAGGGATTGGGGAGAGGAATGGGAGAAGACGGGCAGGGAAAGCTCTGGGTACCCTTTCTCTGCCTTCTGAACAGCACCCTTTCTTGCAGAGGCTGAAACCTCCCAAGTTTCTTAAGATTTATCACCCTCCCCATGGTCTTTTAGGGGTCCAGATCTGTAAGGGGTACCCTGGTCTTTCAAGGGGGGCGGACATTTAGATAACCTCACAAAGACCTGTGTAATAATCATAAATGCAGACCTCTGAAGAAAAGGAATTTGCAGATGGGAGAAGGTAAAGTCCGTGACCTGAACTGGGGTCTTTTGAGTGGCAGGTCTTACCTGTGTGGATCAGAATCACCTGCAGGGCTTGTTAAACACGGACAGCTGAGTTTTACCCCAGACTTTCTGATTCTTTAGCTCTGGACTTGGGCCTGAGAACTGGCATTTCTAACAAGTTCCCTGACGATGCTGGTCAGGGATTCCATTTCGAGACAGCTTAGAGGCAGTTCATGGATGAGGCAGTGTTTGAGCTGAGACCTAAAGCATGAGCAAAAGTTACTTAGATGGGTGGAAGAGGGCATCTCAGGGTGTGGAAACAGTATGTACAAAGGCTCTGGGGCAAAGAGAACGTGGGGTCCTGGAGGAAGAGAAGACAGATTAGTGTGGCTGAAGCCCAAAGGAGGAAAGGATAATAAGTCTTGATCTTAGGAGAGCAGAAAGCCACTGAGTGCTTCAAGTAGGTGCAGATGGGCTGGGGAGGTAATCAGATGGGTTTTCCAGCAAGTTCCCTGGACTGCTGTGTAGAAAACAGGCCCTGTGGTGGCAAGAGTGAGTGGAGGAGATCTATTAGGATGCTAACATAGTTGTCAAGGGGACAGATGGGGTGGTGGGGAAGACAGAAAGGACATGATGGATTTCAGAGGTATTTAGAAGGAAGGCTCAGTGGTATTTGGTGATGGATAGGCTCCAGAGAGGTGAGGTCTGGTGTCCCACCCCAGACCTGTTGCTGCATAACCACCCCAAACTTAGTGGCTTAAAACAATAATCATCTATTTTGTTCACAGACCTGCAGTCTGAGTAGCAGTCAGTAGGGACAGTTTGTATCTACTCCAAAGCACTATAGGTTGGAGTGGCTTTCAGGCTGGGGCATACACAGTGGGGCAGTTGCTGCTGGCTGTCAGCTGGAACCTCAGCTGGAGGTGTCCACTGGGACAGCTCTAAGTGGCCTCTCCATGTGGCTGCTTGGCTTTCTCACAGCATGGTGGCTGGGTTCCCAGAATGAAATCCCAAGAGATAAGAAGCAGAAGCTGCCAGTTTCCTAAGACCTGCGCCTGAAACCTGGCACAGCATTACGTCCACTGTTTTCTACCAGAGTCCCAAGGCCCACATTCAAGGACAGGACATAATCCTAGCTCCCAGTGGAAGGAGTGTCAAAGAATTTTGGACAGATAAAGCACTGGAGGAGGGCCAGGCTTGGGGAGAGATCATGGAGATTTGGTGGCGAAAAAGGGATAAAGGACCCTCTGCAAGTGCTGGGCATGGTCTTGGCTGCTTTAGGGTCCTGGCCCAGAGCCCAGCATTGAATGACCCTGCCAGCCACACACCCCTTCCGCCATCTGCCACAACTTCCACTGTGGGGCAGCCCCTGGAGTCTGGGGTTGGGTGATTGAAGAGAGACCCTGGGAGCAAACCCCTGGCCCTACTTGGGTCCTGGTCCCTACCCAGGGCCTTTCCAAGTCTACATGGGGGGTCAGCTTTTGAATTCCAATCCTGCTTTTCTGTTCCTAAAATATCTTGAATCTTCTCATTCCTTCACTCCCCACGGCTGCTACCCCAGGTAAGCCCCACCATCTATGGCCTGGGTCTCAACTAGCAGTCTCCTTCTTTATGCTCCTGCCTCGCTATGGAGCATTCTCCATGTGCCTCAGAAGGATCATTTAAAATATTAATCTGATCACTTAAATCCTCTGTGTAAAACTTCCCATGTCACCCAGGGTATGATCCAAAGTCCAAGTTGTGGGCCAGCAAGTTGCTGCATGATCCAGCCTCACAGCACATGGACCCTCTAACAGTCCAGAATTATTCCTGCCTCAGGGCCTTTGCACTTGGCAGTTTCCTCCCCAGCTGTTTATATGACTGACTTCTCCTTTTCCTTCAGGGCTTGGCTCAAATGTCACCTTCTCAAAGAGGTCCTCCTTAACTGCTCTAAAGTTGATGACTCTCCCCATGCACTCTTTAACTGTTTTATCAACCTGTTTTATGTCCCTTTTAGCCCTTAATCCCACTCATTCATTCATTTACTCAGCTATTCATTCAACAAACACTGACCTAGCAGTTACTTTGTGCCAGGTGCTGATTTAGGCACTGGGGATCACAGATGTGAACAAAATTAGTGGTTTCACCTCTGCTTCAGAAGACCTGAGGACTAAGCCCTTGGACTTCTCTGCTCTGTCAACACTTGCTGTTCCATGATTTCATCTAGTCATGGGCACTAAATGTCATATACACAGTATACCTCTGGCCCCAACTTGAAATCTAGAAGAGCACATGCTCACAGCTCCACCCAGGTATCTAATGTGCATCTATCTTAGACTTATTGCATCCAAAGCTGAATTCCTGACCTTCCCCTAGCCCCAGACCTGCTCTTCCCATGATCTTCTCCATCCTTCCAAGTGCACAGCCAAAAATTCTGGAATAATCCTGGAGTCCTCTCTTTCTAACCTATCAGTACATTCTTTTTCTGTTTTATCTCAAAGCACATCCAGGATACAACCACTTCTCTCCATCTCCAGTGCCACTACCCTAACCCAAGTCACTATCATCTTCCCTGTATTATGGTGATGGCACCTGGACTGGCCCCCAGTTTCCATCCTTATCCAAGAACAATCTGCTCCCTACACAGTGACACTAAAAATGAAAGTCGGACCACATTGCTCCTCTGCTCACAGTACAAGTGTCTGCAAGGCCCCATCATCCCTCTGCTCTCCTCTCCTGCCCCCTCTTCTCCAGCCACACCAGCCTCCCTGTAAGTCTTTAAACATGCCAGGCCCACTCCTGCCTTAGGATTTACACGTTCCCTCAATTCCTAACTCAAGTGAGGCCTTCCCTGCCTACTTTAGCTGTTTAAGCCCTCAGCTGCACTCCAGCACCCTCCACGCTCTTTTTTTTTTCACTTTCCCTCCCAGCATTTATCATCTCCTGACTCACCATTTATATTTTATGTACTTATTTTACTCATCATCTGCCTTCTTCCACTGGAACCTAAGGTCCCCAAGGTCTCCTTCATTCATGCTGTGTTCACCAGCATCTAGAGCAGGGCCTGGCTCATGGCAAGTCCTCAGAGGTCAGAGTGAGGTGGGGGAGTTGACCATGAGATTTAGCAAGGTGAGTGTCACTGATTTTGACAAGAGCAGCATAATCTAACCTGTCTTGATTGGTCATTTGTTAATTGCCTATCACTTCCTACTAGAATGTTAAGGTCTAAAAGAGCAAGGACTTCACTGGTCTTGTTTTCTGCTGACTCTCTGGTACCTTAAGCAGTACCTGGCACACAGGAGGCACTTGAGAAAAACTGATTGAAAAGAATAGATGCCAGTTTCTGTACCACAAAGGACACCATCAACAGAACAAAAAGGCACCCTACAGTATGGGAGAATATATTTGTAAATGACATATCCGACAAGGGGTTAACATCCAAAATATGTAAAGAACTTACACGCCTCAACACCCAAAAAGCAAATAACCCGATTAAAAAATGGGCAGAGGATATGAAGAGACAGTTCTCCAAAGAAGAGATTCAGATGGCCAACAGACACATGAGAAGATGCTCCACATCACTACTTATCAGGGAAATGCAAATTAAAACCACAGTGAGATATCATCTCACACCAGTAAGGATGGCCAGCATGGAAAAGACTAAGATCAACAAATGCTGGCGAGGATGCAGAGAAAGGGGAACCTTCCTACACTGCGGGTGGGAATGTAAGCTAGTTAACCATTGTGGAAAGGAATATGGAGGTTCCTCAAAAAACTAAAAATAGATATACCATTTGACCTGGGAATCCCACTCCTAGGAATTTACCCAAAGAATACAAGTTCTCAGACTCAAAAAGACATATGCACCCCTATGTTTATCACAGCACTTTTTACAATAGCCAAGATGTGGAAGCAACCTAAGTGTCTATCAGTAGATGAATGGATAAAGAAGAAGTGGTACATGTACACAATGGAATACTATTCAGCCATAAGAAAGAAACAAATCCTACCATTTGCAACAACATGGATGGAGCTAGAGGATATTATGCTCAGTGAAATAAGCGAGGAGAAGAAAGACAAGTATCAAATGATTTCACTCATATGTGGACTATAACAATGAAGCAAAACTGAAGGAACAAAACAGCAGCAGACTCACAGACTCCAAGAAGGGACTGGTGGTTACCAAAAGGGAGGGGTGTGGGAGGGCGGGTGGGGAGGGAGGGAGAAGGGGATTGAGGGATATTATGTTTAGTATACATGTTGTGTGGGATCACCAGGAAAACAGTGTAGCACAGAGAAGGCAAATAGTGAATATGTGGCATCTTACTACACTGATGGATAGTGACTGCATTGGTGTATGGGTGGGGACTTGATAATATGGGTAAATGTAGTAACCACATTGTTTTTTCATGTGAAACCTTCATAAGAGTGTATATCCATAATACCTTAATAAAAACTACCAAAAAAAAGAAAATAATAGATGCCAATGACCAGTTACATGGCTACTTTTCTCTGGGTGTTGCTTCCCTCATCTGTAAAGTGGGAATGAAAATGCTTGCTTTTAAGGATTTTAATGCTTGCTCCCTACCCTGATATCTGCGGAGCAGAAATGTTAATAAATGTTTAATCACACTGTCAGTCACCACATACCGAGTTATAAACATACATCTGGAATTTTGCAGAACCCAGGCAGGGCTGGGATCCTCAGAATACTCTTAAGAAAACACCTTCTGCTCCAGCTGTGATTTTCTCCCACCTCTTCCCCACATCCTCCCACCCTTCCCTCCCCTGAAGCTTCACTAGGCATTCTCCTTAGTATGTTCTTAGAAAGGTGAGAGGGAAGAGAGGAATGGAGAGGCCCATTTTCCTGGGGTAGAGTGAGCAGAAATAAGGAGAGATTCCCAAGAACTCACAGGTTTAGGGCCTAGCCAGAGAAACACCCAGGGGCCTGGGCTCTGCCACCCTATTCCCCAGTGTGACATAGTATAAAGAACCCATTTTGCCAGAAAGTGGTGACCTAGTAACCATGCCACTTTCTGGGGACAGTACACATGGAGAGAGATAAAGCAAAATGTAGCAAATGTTTACAGCTGATAAATCTAGATGAAGCATTTTGGGATATTCATTGCACTAAGACTGCAACATTTCTGAAGGTTTTGTTCATTGTACTATGCTTACAAATTTCCTCTGGGTTTAAAGTTTTTCAAAATAAAAAACTTAAGGGCAAAAAGAAACAGTGATAGACATGCTAGTAGCCCACTCAGTAACCATTCTCCCCTTCTCATACTTTGATTCAGAGAAGTCGTATGCCCAGCCAGATGACCACACTTGTCCAGCCTCGCTGCACCCAGGCATAGCCAAGCGATGTCCAGATGTCATTGGCTTCTGGGCAAATTCATGAAAGAGAAACAACTGGTGGGTGCTCTTTTTAACCCTACTTCTCTTTCTCCTGCTTTTTGTGTAGACATGATGGCTGGGGCTGCAGCAGCCATTTGGACCATGCGGTAGGTGACCTTGAAGGTAGAATCCATGAAGCAAATAGGTAGGAGTCTGGGTTTCTGATGACTGTGAAGTCATAGTACCAGCTGTGGACTGCCCACTGCTGGACTTCTTTAAGTGAAAGAATAAACATCCACTTTACCTAAGCTTCTGTATTAGCAGCCACATGAATTTGCTGCCTGATTTAGAATTGAACCTGTTTTCTGCTTCCTCTGCACTCTGGACTTTTCCACCTGCCAGATCCTCTGCTGGGAATGCTCACCACCACTTGTGAAGTCCTTCTCATCTTTCAAAACCCAGCTCCAATGTCACTTTCTCCTGGAGGCTTTCCCTGGGTGCCTCTTCCCTCCTGGGCTCCCATAACCCCCTGTGCTGCTGTTAAACTCCCCAACAGCCCTCTTGCTGCCTGTCTGAGGACTCCCCTCCTCAGCATTTTGGACTCTTAGTAGCATTTATCCACTTGTCGTCCTCTAGTCCCCTTGGCTTCCCTGCTACTTTCTCTGCAACTCTCCTTCTCTCTGTTCTGCTCCTTCTCGGTCTCTTCCCCAGGGTCCTCTATCCCAAACACACATAAAGGTTGCAGTGCCTCATAATTCTGTTCTGAATCTCTCTTTGCCATGTTCCCCTAGACAACTGCATCGCCCCTTGGCTCCAGCCACCACCTCTGTACTAATGACTCCAAAATCCAGTACTGGGCTGCCTTGGGCCAGCTTGGGAGGACAACTATTGAAAGTTTCAGGAATTTTGTGATCTGGGTGTTAAAGCCATTACTAAAAGTTAAATTATACAAACAGAATTATATAAATTATGTTAAAAACAAAGATAAACACTCAAAACATAACTTCCTAATTCCCCATTCCTGTAAGAGGGAGTACACACATCCTTCATGTGACCTTCTTTCTCTCTTCTTCCTCTTACCTCCCTCCCACCAGGCCCTTCTTCATCACCTACTCTGCCATTAGGGTTCTTGAGAGTCACAAAAATCACTTCTGGCTAATTTAAGCAGATAAGTTATTATTCAATGCTGGCAGCTCAGAAACTCTCCAGGAAGGCCCACTTGTAGATCGCACAGCCTGGAATGATGCCCCAAATCACAGTGCCAAGCAGGCCTAGGAGGACTGCCCCAATGCCATGGTGAGACATGGAGAGTGCAGAGTCACTGCTGCTCATGGGCCCTGACAAGAGCTGCTACCACCGCCACCACCCGTCCTCACCAGAGCAGACTCCCCTGCCTCCTGCTGCTTCCTGGCACTAGCTTCAGATTCCAAGTCTGGGGCTGGGTGGGTGAGGCTGAGGTCACATGTCCTTGCCGTAAGGAAGGCTGGGAGAGCATTGTCGGTTCCTAGAAGGAGAGACGGGCTCTATGTCATATGGAGGGGGATCCGCCACACATAGGAAGGGGGCAGTTCCAATACTGAGAGCCTATCAGTAATGACAGATGTCCCCTGGGCTAGCTTTTTGAATTATACAAGTAAAATACTATTCAAGGTAAAATAACTAATAGCCCAAGCAGGAAGGTGATGAAATATAAAAGCTTCTCTCCCTGATTCCCATTTGCAAAGGGTAACTACAGTTAACGTACTGTTTTTTGGAACTCATTGCAGATGTATTCTTCATCTCTCCAGCTATAAGGATGTATATATTTATATGTGTGTCTGTTTATTACTGTGCATGTGTATGTATTCTCTATGTATCAAAGTTGACTAGTTCTGCACATTACAACTTGGCACCTTGCTTCTCTCACTTCACACCGTATCTTGACACACTTCCATGTCCCTGCACATGGATCTGGCTCAATCTTTCTAATGGAAATACAGCATTTCACTGGGTGGATATACCACAATTAACTAGCCAGTTCTCCACAGATGGACATTTAGGTGATTTTCAGTTTTTTGCTACAATAAGCCACACTGCAGTGAACGTCCTTGCACAAATGTCTGCTTGTGCACATTGAGATCCAAAGGATAAATTCCTGGAAGGGGAACTGTTGGCTGAAAAGGAGTATGCATTTATATTTCTGATAAACATTGCCAAGTTGCCTTCCAAAATGAGTGTGCCAGTTCGCAGCTCTACCAGTGACCTGTGAACATTATTTTTCCAGGCCCTGCACAGTTTGCCTACTAGCTGCCTCCTCACTTCGTCACTTGTCACTCTCTCCTCAATTCCAGTCACAGTGCCTTTGCCCATGCTATACCCACAGCCTAAAATACTCCTCTCTGCCTGTCTGATGAAATCTTACCTGTCCCATGAAGCCCAGCTCAGGTGTGACCTCCTCTGTACAGCCTTCCCTAACTCCTACACTGTCAGAGTCCCCTCCGTCAGAGTCCCCTCCATCAGGATCCCACAGTTTCTTGGGCACAATTCTGTCATAGCACCCACTGAGGGTCTATGTGTGCTTGGCATTCTATGGCCATTTGACAATCCCCACCATAATCACACAAAAAAGTGGTCTTCTCCTCCCTCCCTCCCCACTCTTCAGCTGCACTGCCCTTAATCTGTTCCTAAGCACAGTCCTGCCTCAGGGCCTTTGTACTTGCAACTTCCTCTCATGGATCTTTCCCTTCTTGCCTTTGGTGCCTCTCTGTGGACTCTGCTCCCATTCACCCGGTTACAGAGTACTTCCCTGACCGCTCTGTCTCAAGCACCCCTCCTCTAGTTGTTCTGTTACTTCACCATTTTATTCTCTTCATTACACTTCTCACAAGCTGAAATAACCTTGTTAGGTTTAAGTGCTGACACGTTTATTTTCTGCCCTGTGTCCCATCGCTGCACACACGCAAATACATCACTGTAACCTCCCCAGGAGCAGGGTCCTTGTTTTCCTTTTCCACTGTCTCCAGCCTAGAACCTGCCTGGCACCTGTCTAAGCGCTCAATCAACGTTCGTTGAATGAATCATCTGTTATTTTACAGAAAAAAGAAGCTGGCATTCAGAAAGGAGAGCCGAGAAGCAATCCAAGGTTCCACAGTTAGTAAAAAGCACACCTGAGATTCAAACCCGACTGAACTCCAAAGCCAACAGCAGTATTTCTTCCCTGTTCAGCGCGCTGCATCGTCTCCCCAACCAGACTAGGTTCTTGGGGGTACGATGCGAGTCTGAGGACCCGGGGTCCCTCAGGGGCGCGTCCCTGGCGGGCCGCGGAAGGATAGCGAGCTCAGCGGAGATGTCACCCTCTCCGCCCCCTGTCAGTCAGGCCGAGGGGGAGGCGCGGCCGCCAGGGGGTGCGCTGAGCTCAGAGCTGCCGCAGCGCTCGAGCTGGAGTCGGAGTCCGAGCGCGTGAGCGAGCTGGGCGCTAGGCGCGAGCGGTGGCTGCCGACGCACCCAAGGCTCGGACAGTACTGCGCCCTTGCCCAGGGCCCAAGCCCCGCCTGCTGCAGCCGGACCTGAGTATCTGGCCACGGCCCGACCTCCCATCGGGCTCTGAGCTCACCCCAGCACTGCCTAGCGCCCGCGGCAGACGCAACAGCAGCTCCATACCCAGCCCCCGCCCCGCACCCAGGTGAGGTGGCCGCGCTCCGGGAGCGGGGGTGGAGAAGGCACTGGGGAAGTAAAGGGGACTGGTCTGGTGTGGGAAGGACTGGACAACTGAGAGAGGTCTGCAGTGGGTGAGTGTCACTGCGCCCCGGGGTATGTGTGTCTGCAACTGCCTGGGTGGCCCTGTGGACGTGCGTTCGCTCCCGTGTGTCCGTGTGTGCGCGTGTCCGTGCGCGTTTAGACTTCTGTGTATCCTGTATGTGCACGTGAGCGTGTCCGTGGAGTATGTTTGTGTGCATGACTGTGTGACTCTGTCCTGTGTGTCCAGGCAGGCCTCGGGGCTTCGCGCCAAGCTCAACATACCGTTAACACGGGGCTGCAGGTTGCAGGGCCCCAGATAACCGAGGCGGTGACCCCTCCCGCGTCCCCAGATTTCAAGGACGCGAGGACTCGCTGCGGCCCTATAGCCTTGAGCTGGGTAGAGGGTAAGGTGGCAGGGAGCTTCGTTCCCTGAAGGGCTCAGGAGCATCCTCAGCTGCCAGCTATCAGTAGGGAGGGGAGGGGGCACAGCGTCCACAGGAAGGGCTGTGTTGAGGGGTGCAGGGCCAGTGCACCCGTGCCCGTGTGTTCACCCTCCCCAGGACGCCAGGATGGACGTGTTCATGAAGGGCTTGTCCATGGCCAAGGAAGGCGTCGTGGCCGCCGCGGAGAAAACTAAGCAGGGGGTCACCGAGGCTGCAGAGAAGACCAAGGAGGGCGTCCTCTACGTCGGTGGGCGAGGGGCAGGGTTTCCGGGGCCACAGGGTTCGGGTGTCCTCCTAGGGAGTGGGGCCTGGGTCCTTAGAGGGAGGGAGGGGTCTGGGCAGGACAATATGAGTCAGCAGACAGGGCGGGTCAGCAGGGGTCACTGGGGACATAGCCAGCTTTAGGTAGCCTGTGTCAGTGATGGGACCTTCCCAAGAGGGAGTGGGGGTAAGGGTTGGTGAAGGTGGTGTTCAGCTGCAAGACCAGGACCAGTGCAGTGATCAAAGCAGACAGCCTTCCTTTTCTTACTCTTCTTCTCATTAGTTACCTGGTGAGCCCTTACTCTCCCCCAAGTCCTGTGGGACATGGCCTAACATCCATTAACTCATTTAACATTCCCTGCCCATTTCACAGACCAAGTGAACTGGGGCTGCTCAACTGTCTTGCTCAAGGTCACACAGCTGATAAAACCTGAGGCTGGAGTCTGAGCCGAGCTATGGACTCCAAGGCCCACCTGTCCCCTTGACGGTTCTCCCACCTGTATTACTAGGGCTCCTTCCCAGCCCACCTCTCCAGCTACTTGCACCTGAGTTTCTCTCCAGGAACTCCTGCCTCCCAGTGCCTGTGGTTCCACCATTGCTGTCTCTCCTCTGAGTTCACCATCCTTTCAGCTGGCAGCTATCTTTAGGAGAAAGGCCAAATGGTTAAAATCTCTCACCATGAGTGTGAAAGGAGAGGGAGCCTTCAGGGTCATTTGCATAAAGACAGGCAAGGCTCAGAAATTGATATCTACTGAATCTAGACACAATTCAGGGCTTACTTGTGTGCAGGGGGCAGAATCATCCCTTATACAGGCTGCAGAGGGCTGGTTCACTTGCCCAGCATTGTGGCATATTTGAGGTTGTGGTAATTTGAAAAGTATTTACTGACCACCTACTATGTGCTGTAGGTGCTGGCTCTCCTGATAGTGATAGAGTATTCTTATAGTGGGATTTCACATCAGAAATCTGTCCCTTTCACATCAAGTGACTGGGATGGGAACTACTTTGGTAAAGTTACCAAAGAGGGTGGCATTTGAGCTTAGCCCCAAAGAATAAGGGGCTGGGGTGGGGGCTGGGGGGGGTGGAGCAGAAAAGCCAGGTGCAGAAGCCCTGGGACAGGCTGAAGGAGGCTGGGCTGGAGAGCAGAGGGCAGGAAACAGTGGGAAGAGTTGAGATCAGAAGGTGGGCAAGCATCAGTCCATGAGGGGGCCCTTCTAGGCCAGGCAAAGCATTATTAGAATTGCCTCGAGAGATTTTAAGCTAGGGGCTGACAGTCAGAAAGGTCCCTCAGGCCTCAGGATAAATTACAGGGAGTCCCACTGGGAGCTAGTATAGCCACCAGATAAGGGTGGCTAGAGCTAGGGCAGCTGTGATAGAGCAAGGGCGAAGGCTTGAGCCCACACCTGCTGGACCCCATCTCTGGCCTCCCTCTTGCCTCCTCCTGCAGCCCATTTTCTCCTGTGGATCCCTGGTACCCCTGACACTGCCTCCTTGCTAACACACTCAGCCTCATCCTTCCCCTTAGACTGGCACCTCCTCCCCCTGCCCAGGGAACCCCAACGTCCCCCAGTTCCTACACGTTAAAGCCTCAGCTCCCTGTAGCCTAGCATTCAACACCTTTGTGGTCCTGCCTCAGTCTGTGTGTGCTCTGGGCACACAGACTGTGCTGATGGGCTCCATCCAGGCCCTGAATGTACACATCTCTGTGCCTCGGCTGCATGGTTCCCTGTGCCTGGAATACCCTCCTGAGTCTCCTTTCTGCATATCCACCTGCTCCCCATTTGTCAAGGGCAAGGCAGTGCCCCCTCCCACATCATGTACCCGCTAGAGGCTAGAAGTCATCTCCCCACTACTTGAGGTGCAGGACACAGTATCTGTTCTCTTACCCCTGCCCGACAGTGAGCCATTGGCCAGGGCCTGGCACAAGCCAGGTGCCCGCAAATGTTTGTGGGAGGAATGAATGGGTTTATGTGTGCAGCCCACCCCCTGCTGTCTCTGGGTCTGGCTGGCCTTCATCCTGAGAATCCTGTTTTCCCACACTGGCCTCTCCTCCCACCAGCCACCCAGACACCCATTTCTGGGTCTATCAGCTGTGTGTGGGTTGACAAATTCTTGGGAGGGAAGATCACCAGTGCCCTAAAGACTCCCACCCTGCCACCTTAGCTCAGGCCCTCTGGCCCTTCTTAGTCACTGCTCTCATTGGAAGGCCCAGCCAATGCTGTGGGTGTTAGTCACAATGTGCAAATCACTCTTAGGACCATCCTGTACCTAAGACTCTCTTCACTTCAACCAGAAGGAGGGATATGCACCCTAGTTAGGAGAAGTCTTCAGATGAAATGGAATGGGGGCTGGCGGCATGTGAGTGTACACAGGTAGGGGGATGGGCAGCCATACATCAGAGGCACTGGGGAACCTTTCCAAATATACAGCCTTTTGCGCCCCCTGTGGCTCCACCCCACTCCCACCGCCACCCCAGCCTGCTCCCATTCTCAGCAGAGGATTAAATGAAATGGGGCAACTCGAGTACTTTTCACAGTGCTGGTACTCAGGCAGCATCCACCAGAGGGGTGTGCCTATCATATCAGGTGGGGGTGGGGGCGACGATGGAGGAGAACTAGAAGTCCTGAGGAAGTAGAGGAAGTAGGTGTGGCGGACTCAGTGTGTGAAGGGGGCACTTGTGGGATTTGGGGCCCGAGGAGGCAGTGATGGGGCCAGGTGCCAACTGGGTCCCTCTGCCCACTCTGTAACCACTGTGCTTGCTGTAGCTTCTGTTCCCTCAGCTCAGAGCTCTTGACTGTGCTTCTTTCTGTCCCTGCAGGAAGCAAGACCCGAGAGGGGGTGGTACAAGGAGTGGCCTCAGGTACCAGCCCAGCCCTGGCACAGCCCCTTTCCCTCACCATGGGCCTATGATCTAGCTAGGACTTGGGTGGGGGGAGAGGCAGGGGGCGGAGGAGGGCACCCCAACTCTTCCTGGGGGTGTGTGCCATGGGGAAGGCAGGCCCTGGGACACTACCCACTACCGGGAAGGGAGTCCTCTATGCCTACTTCACCCTAGCCCCCAACCACTTCCCCATCCTCTCCCTGCTCCAGTGGCTGAGAAAACCAAGGAGCAGGCATCACATCTGGGAGGAGCTGTGTTCTCTGGGGCTGGGAATATCGCAGCAGCCACGGGCCTGGTGAAGAAGGAGGAATTCCCCGCCGATCTGAAGGTGAGCTGTCCTCTCACTACATACACATGCATGCCCACACATGCCAGGAATGCCCATCAACCAGGCTCCCCACTCCCCCAGCCAACTCAGGGCACAAGCCATCTTGCCTCACTTCTTCAGGGCCCTGCTAGATCAGCTCACAATGTGTCTGCATGAAGGTGTGTTGGCCATGGTGTTCCCTGTGACAGTGACCCAGATCTGGCTGTATACATGTATCTTGCTTGTGAGTATGACCCAGACCACTTTTCACCATGTCCTCATTCATTTCTTTTCATTCAGTCTTCACATCAGAGAGGAATTTTTCTAGGGGTTCCCACAATGAATAGGTTCCTACATTTGTGGAACTGACAATGTAGTGGGAGAAGATAGTAAAAAGCCAATCAATAAGTCAGATGGGGACACGGGCTCTGATGAAAAGACAGGGTGATTGGGTAGAAACCCAAGGGCTAAGAGGCCACTTTTGTTGGGAGGGCTTCTCTGAGGAGGCAACATTTGAGCTGACACCCAAGGGATGAGGTAAGGCATGCAAGGAGTGTATTTCAAGCAGTAGGTACAGCATGTACAAAGACCCTGAGGCGGGCATGAGCAGGCCTGGGCTACATGGGAGGGGAAAATTGTGCACCACACATTTGTGCAGGCATGTTCCCCCAAGGGAGTGGTGGCAGCTACCCACCCATGTGTTCGTGCAGACAGCACTCCATTAGGACATACTGCAAGGCAAGAGATGTGAGCTCTGGAGCCCCAGATCTGGATCTGAATCCCAAATCCACTAATTCCTGTCTGTGTGACCTTGGGTAGGTCTCATCATGCCTCTGAGCTCTATTCTTTGCCTGTAGAACAAGAGAGGAACACAGTAGGGCTCTCACATAGATTAGAGATTTCTATCAGAGAGTCCCAAAGCTCAAGTGTGCATCACAATCACCAGGAGGCCAGATTAAAATAAAGACTGTTGGCCCCATCCCTAAAATTTCTGATTCAACGGGTCTGGGGTGGGGCCCGAGAATTTGCATTTCCAGCAGGTACCCAGGGGATGCTGCTACTACAGGTGCAGGGACTACACTCTGAGAACCTCTGATGTAAAGAGCTCAGCTTGTACAGTGGGTGCTCAGTGAGAGGTGGTGGCCCCAAGATCACATGAGCAACAGAGTCTGTCTTCAAGGGCTAATGTGACTATAGGTGTGTGTAGGAATGTGCCACTATGACAGCGCACCCTGGGTCTGGACGTCCACCCAGGTATTCTTCCTGCAGACTGCTCCGAGCGTGTCCACATACAATGGCAGACTCTGCCTTCACGGGCAGTGAGGGGCTCCTTCTTCAGTGTTTGGTTTGGGAGATCAGTGTACATTCCACACGAGCGTATTTATAGGGCTGTAAGAGGAGACCCCACACACCCTCCACTCCAGACATTGTGCTTCCTTCCCCTCTCAGAAGTTGGGACTTAACTCACAAGTTCTGGTTCAAGTCCCGCCTATGCATTCTACCAGCTGTGTGACTTTCCATTTCTTATAATGCTTCCAGTGTTAGCTCCCATCCATTGATCTCTTGGATGGGCAGGCACTCTTCTAGATATGTTACAGGGAGTAACTCACTGAATCTTCACAGTGTCTCTAAGAAGAAGGCACACAGCTAGTCCATTTTACAGATGAAGAAACTGAGGCCCAGAGAAGTGAAGTGACTTTCCCAAGATCCCAAGTCCTGCCTGCCTCCCTGAGAAGCTGGTTGGGAGGATAAGCTCAGGCTCATGTCACCAGAGTCACTTCGTGCTGACACCGGCCAGGCCATGTGCTGGGAGCTAAGGTGCAGAGAGAGGCAGGTCTGGGCCTAAGCTGTCATTCTCGAGGCTGTTCATGAGAAGCCTTTGCACAGAACCATTTTTCTCTAGCCACCTTCTTCCTATGAGCACTTTTGACATAGGGAGATCTAGGGAGTCTCAAGGGAGATCTAGATCATAGATTTAAATCCAAACAGCAGCCCTTTGGGTCACCAGGCATGGGGGAACCTGTTCAAGTGCAGGATGCACATTTCTGAGTGTCTGCCTTCAGCCTGCTTGCATTTATTATCACAGATTCCTCCCCCGACTCCTATAAAGCAGAGAGCACCATTTCATTTCCCATCCAATCTGAGATCAGACATGAAGAGACTTACTGATGCCAAATGGCTAGTGACTAGCCAGGCTGGGATGTTTTTTAAGTGAACTTTTTATTGAAGTACAACATATATGCAGAAAGCACACAGCCCCATAAAATTTTCACAAAAGGACTCCCTCATGAACCAGCACCCAGATCAAGAACATCAGCACCTCAGAAAACCCCCTTCCAGTCCCTAAGCCCAGGGCCAAGGCTAGGATGAGATGAGTGAGTGTCTGGAGCACAAAATTCAGGGGGGCACTCATTTTGGAGTCCTACTCACCTGGCCGTGAAAGCCGGTATCTTAACACATGCACCTTGGGTGCCTTATTCTCCTCACCTTCTTCCTGGCCCTACCTCCCCTCCGAGGGCCACTGCTTCTGAACTTCAATTACCACAAACAAGTTGGGTGTTTTCAACTTCATATAAATGGTATCATGCAGGACATGCTCTTCTGTACCTGGTTTCTTTCACTCCACAGTAAGCATAAGACCCAGCCATGCAGTGGCATGTAAGCACTGTCATTCTCCATTCTGTTGTACAGCACCCACTGGGTGATCAGACTACAGGACACACACCCATTCTACTGGTGGTGGACATTGGGGTTGTTTCCAAACAATGTGCTTGAGCTAGGATTGCTAACATTATGTTTCTTTCCTGGGTTCTGGTCACAGCTGGGTGACTTTGGGCAAACTAGTATTTCCCCACACCCTGGGCCTTGGTGTACCCATCTGTACATGGATAGGGGGAGTGGAATGAGCCCAGTCAGGAGTGGTAAACTCATGTGCCCACAAGGCCCACCTAGACAGATAATGTGAAGTAGCTGCATAGGGCTAGGGCAACTGGAGAGTAGAGGTGGTCAAGGCAGGTCTTCTCCATGCCAGGCCTCCAGGATCCCAAGTTTCTTATTTCTACCCATAGGGAAGGACAATGGTTATATGTGGAAGTGGGTGAGTGGCATGCCTTCTGCCTACAGGTTCCCCCAGGAGTGCCAGCCCATATGTGGCCTTGTGCTGCTGTGCATGGACCCCAGTTTATTGTGTGTGCCTGTGTTTGCAGCCAGCTCAGTCCCATGTTTGTCTGCATATATGTGCTCACCTGCAGGTGGCTTGCCACATGTGTGGTAGCCCTCAGTTTATGTGCCTGCTGGGCTAGGTAGCAGATGTAGGGGGGAGGGGAGAGTCTTAGCTCACACATCCAAGCAACACCATGAGCTGTTGCTTCTAGCTTATCTTAAAATAGCAACAGCTGAAGAAACCAGGCCATGCAGGATCCTGGGGGAGGGATGGTTGGAAGGTGGCAGGGGAATGGCTCAGAGCCACTGCCCAGTACTGTCCCTGAGCTTCCATCTCCCTCCAGCCCAGAGGAGCCTCCAGGATTATCTCTGGGGTCCCAATGCCAGCACAGAGCCCAACACAAAGGAGGCAGTGATAAATGGGTGACTGAATGTGCTGCCCATTTCCCCATTCCATACAGTACAAATGATGGAAGTTCAGGAGGCTGCCAGGTGCTCAGGAGATGGGTATGGCGAGCCCTGCCCATTCCTCTTCAACTCCCCCAGCTTCAAGTGGTGATTTGGAGGAATATCACCCCCACACCTTCATCCCCTTTCCAAGGCACTTCAAATAAACAATTAAAAATTCTGGTTGCACTGCCAACAAAGCCTAGCCTTCTCCCAGTCAGCAAAAATCTTCCCAGGATAGGAATTTGGAGGGCATCCCCAGCTGCCCTCACAAGCCCTGTTCCTTCTCTGCCCACAGCCAGAGGAAGTGGCTCAGGAAGCTGCTGAGGAGCCACTGATCGAGCCCCTGATGGAGCCTGGAGAGAATTATGAGGAACCGCCCCAGGTGAGGGGCTGCCGGGCTAGGTGGGGCTTTGGGCATCTGGGGAGATTGCTACCATCCCCAGCTGGAGTAGGAGGTCCCTGGCAAGATAGGGTTGGGCCAGGGAGCTTCAGGCTCCCCTTTTCCAGAACCCAGGCCTCAGGAGGTGGCAACAGGGAGGGAGGACAGATGGGGTGTCACACTGGGTCCCAGGAACTTCCCAGCTGTCCCCAACTTCCAGGTTCCTCCGCTGTCCAAGGGGAGGGACAGATACGGTTCTTCCTTGAGGAGGAGGGGGCTTGGGACGAGGGCCACCCACTGTGTCTCCAACTCCTTCCCCTTTTGCTCTTCCCTGCTCCACCCCCATCTCCCTGATGCAGGAGGAGTATCAGGAGTATGAGCCAGAAGCATAAGGGCCCAGGACCACCCGCCACCAGCAGCACAATCCACTCCCTGTCCTCCACCCTGCTCCCCAGAACCAGGGCTGTCCTTCTGCCCCTTTCCCCCCAAACATGAGATCTTCCTTCGCTCCAAGGCACCTCCTTGGAGCCTGTGTTAAGTGTCTGTCTGTCTGTCCTACCTGCCCGGGTCCAACCTTGTGGCGCATAAGGGGCCAGGGCTGCGGCAAAGGCTGGGAGCCTCACCTCACCCGTGTTGCCTCCTCCCTACCCGTTCCCGCCCAATGTCTGCGCGAATGTAGCATGTTCTATGTGTTTTTAAACGAAGATCCGAAAGAAACAACTCCCAGCCCCAACCCCAACAGAGGCTCTCCGAGGGGTCCCCGGGCAGTCCTAGAGTCCTCCACCCTACTCTTACTTCGACCCCGAGCCCCTCCCTTTTTTTAAAACCAAAACCAGGAGTTAGGCTGTGCCATGCCCCCTCCTCCAGCCGGCCCGCTCCGCACAGGCGTCGTGTGTTATGATTGTGGCATGAAGAGTGCCCCAACCCCCGTGTGAGCGTGTCCCGGGCGGGCGAGCCCGGCCGCCCCCCGAGTGTCCCTGAATAAAGCCAATCTGTCTGTAGCCGGAGCCGCGGACAGAAAAGGTGTGGGCTGGGCTGCGCTGGGCGGCGGGTGGAGATGGCGATGGGCTTCCAAGGTCCCAGCCTGCCCCACTCCCCTCTTTGGGGCCCAGCCACACTCAGCCCAAGTATAACAACGACCACCTCGGCGTCAGCCTAGCCATCTCCTATCCACCCCCAGAGACGACCTGTGGGGAAAGGGGTCTCTTCAGTCTGGAACATGCAGTTGACCAGGAGGCGGGAAGGTGGCCGCAGGTGCCACCTGCTGGACCGTACAGCACCTGCTCGGGGTGCTAGGCAGAGGGAAACTCCGCGCCGCGGCGGCACAGGGTGAACCGACCCCCACCTCGCCTCACAAGCAGCGCAGGCGCGCAGATGGCCACTGGCGCAGAGACATGCGTAGGCGGGGTGTTGCACGCCAGCCAGAGTGTATGCACCGAGGCAGGTGTGCACGTGCAGACACGCATGCACCACGCTGGCAGACCCGCGCTCGCACTCCTAGTTGTGCGCGCTCCACGAAGATGCTTTCAAAAATCAGCAGCGGGGTCACTGAAAAACATTACTCTCAGACCTCTGCCCCCCAAAACGTTTACACGCACACATCCCTGTGCATACCTGCCCAATTCAGAAAAACCCATCCAAAGGTAGGGGAAATGGGCAATTGCCCCAGAAGGAGGCCGAGCTCGGGTTACCGCGGCTCCCCCCACCCCGGAAAGACGCCCGAAGGTTTGTGACCTCGGCTGAGGTGAGCTAGGGTCCGCAGAAAACTGAAGGCCGGCCTGGAGCCTTGAGCCCTTCAGGACTGGCACTAGAGGGCCCCCAAGACCACCTCAGAATGGGGAAGAAGGGGGCGGAGACGCCGTGGTACAGGGCCGAGGTCCCGCCCCCGGCACGGAGGAAAGCGCTGCTCTGATTGGCGCAGAAGCGCTCCACACCGCACTTTCGCTGAGGCCCCGCCCCCGTCGCTGCGGCGCCCCTGCGCTAGTGCCACAGCAGCCTCTTCCCCGGTAGCACAGGAGACCCCGCCCCGGCCTTTGCGCCAACGCGGTTTGGTTTTGCCGCAGGGGCCCCCCCAACCTCGCCAGTTCAGGACCTCACCCCTGTTCGGCGTAGTGCGACCTCCTTTGCGACTCCAACTTTGAGTCACCCTCCAGCCTCAGGGCTGGGAGAAGTTTGTTATATTCAATCAATACCCAAGTGTTAGAGCCTCCTCTTTCCCTGCGTCATGGGAGTGGGAGGAGGTGCCAGGCCGGGAAAGGCTTAAACGCTGCGGGAAACCCGTCCACTCGGGGTCACCTTGGCCTGCATTGTAAGCGCCTTTATTTCCGGAAATAGGAGGCAGCTGGCGGACGTGTGTGTAAGGAGAACAAACGGGTGGGCTTAGAGTCTCTGATTCAATGTACGCGTGCCAGGATCTCAATAAAATCCCTTTTGGCTAACACACTGTTTACAACCTACAGTCCTCAGGGATTGCACACTCATAGCCCTAAAGTTGGATTTGGCCTGTAGGGATGTTTAGTTTACTAACCCAAGGTTTACATTTTTTTTTACATTTGATTTCAGTAGGCAACAGTCCCTTTCCCTCCCTATTGTATTCCTCCCATCCGCTTCCACTCATTTTCATGAACTCCCGGGCCTCTGAATTTGTTTGCCATCTCCTTTCCAGCTACCAGCACCTGAACCCATTTTTAGATGCCAAAACCAGTTTCACCATCTAGGGAGGTTTATTCTTCCTTCCCAGGCACCTGGTTTTCTGCTCACAGATTAATGCTCTCATTTGCCAGGGTCACTTTAAATGCATTTCCAGGCACAGAACCAGAAGCATCACTGGAGGATGCCAGCTCTGTGTCAGAGCACAGTCCCAACTGTGGGTGCATGTGTGAGAACACATCTCGGGCTCCTCCCTTGTGACAGGGATGGAACCATTTCCCCAATGCCCAGTGTGTCCCAGGCTTCCAACATTTGTCTCTATTCATTTCACTTGAAACTATCCTCAAGAATTCCTTGTTATTAGCTCCAGTTTACAAATGAGAGAGTGGAGGTCAGAGGGGCAACATTACCTGCTCCAGGTCACATTGTTGCAAAGTGACAAAGGCCACATGCAGTCCTAAGCCTGACCCCTAAGCCCAACTGCTTTGGAATTTTCCCAAAAGGGTCCTTCTCTGAGAGGAGGCAAACAAAACCCACCAACAATAGGAAAATGTGGAGGCAGCAGAGCAGAGATGACAGATGCTCCTGCAGCTTCGTGGAGACTGAGATTTGGTGGTACTTGTTGGTGGGGGAGTGGGTTTCAGCTATGTGTGCACACTTGACTTAGATGATGCGGGTGTTGCATCTGTGTTCACGTGTGTACATTATGTTGCCCTCGTGTGTTGTGTCCATTTATTTAGTCACTAAACAGCACATGCTGCACACCTGCTCTATTCTTAGAGGTGAGGGGTTGCAGGTCACTGTCCTGATACAACTCACACCCCATGGATCAACAAACACATGAAACAAGATGATATTAAGTTTTATGAAGAACATAAAACAGAGAGATGTGATAGAATGCGACAGGGAGAGGATAGTGGCACACCCTAAATTGGGGTGGTTAGGCATTTGAGGAGGTGGGTTTGGAGCTGAAACCTTACTGAAAATAGGGTGGTGTAAGAAGTTGTGGGGAGACCAGCGTTGCTGCAGAGGAAAGAACCACCTCTCTGCGTGGACACAGGGGTGTCTTCAGTGATGCCTCCTGAGATCTGTGGGTCCAGTTCCACCTCACCTGATCCAGACCTTACTTCCCTTTGCTGTGCTATTTCCTCCACCTGGACAGCTGCCCACATCTCTGCCTGTTGAAACCCTTCTCCCCTCTGAACTTCCCCTGGTCTTCCAACCAGAAGTGACCCCTCATCATCGCCATCCTGCTCAGCTGAGCACACAGGGACCCTCCACTCCCACCCATGTCAGTACTCTGACGACCTTCACTGGCTGACTCGTCTGAAAACTGCCCTTTCCCACTGATGAAGGGCTGGGGGCTGTCCGGCTGCCCACACCATTTGTCTGTCTCCCTCCCAGTCTTCCTACCTCCACCTCTAGTAATTTGGCTCCACAGCTTTCTCTAGAACTTTATTTTTGTTTTCTCCCTTCCCTATTTATAGCTCTCTCCCCTTCGAACCATCCCTGCATCCACCCGTTGCCTAGAAACTGGCTCTGGGCTGAGGGTGGGGGAAGGCCAGGCTGAGCCCAGGCGGGAGGAAGGAAGAGCTGTCATCCACTCCCCCTTTCAGTACCTCCCCCAGGCTCCCCCACCCCGCTGTCTGCCCAACACCTACTGGTGTTTTTAAAAGATAAAACAAAATGTGAAAAAACAGCAGCCTTTATGAAGTCCTTCACAGCTTCTAAAGGGCATGGTACATGTGATTTCACTTGTGCCTCTCAATAGCCAGTCCAGCCGAGGCCTTGGACCTGTTTGCAGATAAGGAAACTGAGGATTCAGGCAGCAATGTTTCACAGCTAAAGTCTTCTCATAGAAACTCCATGGCTCTGAATTTGTTAGCCCTGGGACACTGGCCTAAAACACTGAAAAGAAGACTTAAAAGCATAAATAACTCCATAATCCGTGAATTGCAGAGGGGAGGGGTAAAGAGAAAAGTGTTGTCAAGGTCCTGCCACACACTAAGCCACCAGTCATGCCCCCTGCCATGCCACTCCACCACGCCCCTTTCCACCACCCTGCAATGCCACCACCATGCTACCCCCACATCCCCACTGCCATGCCCCTACCAGGCCCCCACTAGGTCCAACTGCAGCTCAACTCCGGCCCTAATGCTTACCTTCTACAGACTGGGCCATGAAGCCTAAGCTTGGTTCCTGGCACTACCATTTTACCAACTGTGTCACCTTGGATAGTTTATGGGGCCTGTCTGAGCCTCATTTTCCTCAGCTCAAAAGTAAGGATGCTCATTTCTACACACTAAGAACAGTTAGAGAATTAAATGCAATCGAGATGAGAAAGGCTTTGAAAACCATAGAGTGCTGTAACATGTGAATGATCAATTAAAATAGTAAATATTGTTATTGTTGTAGCTATTAGTGCCAAGAGGTGGGAGAGGGGAGCCAAAGTGGGCCCTGGCATCAGAGAGGGAGACCCTGGCCCACATCAGGGCAGAAGGACTCCTTTGCTTGGCAGAATGAGAGGCATGATTGGGGGCTGCCTGAGAGCACCTGCAGACCTCTGTGGAGTAGAGCAGGGCACAGAGGGCTTCTTGTGCCTGATTCCTCCTTCTCAAATGCCCCTGTTGCCTATCCCCATCCCCTACTGCCCCCAATCCCTGTCTCCCACCCCAAGGTCTGCCTCTTCCTTCAAATAGGCTGTCTGGGCAGAATGGGAGAGAGGGCTGCCAAGGAGCAGCTGGGCCATGATTCAGCCTGAGTCACCCATCCAAATCCTGGGGCCGCCCCCAGCTGGGCCAGGGCCTACAGCTGCTGGGTGGAGGGGGATGTGGAGAGGGAGGGAGGGTGCCTATGGCCAGTATGGGCAGCAGGCTATGCTCATAGGTGCCCAGGCCAGCGGCTGTCATAAATATCAGGGCAGTGCTGTGAGGGCCTGGGAGTGGTGCATGTGGAAAAATCAGGATGGGCAGGTGATCCTATGGACATCAGTTATATGGACTGACTGAGGCAAGGTTTTCGTGTATGTGCATGTGTGTGTGTGTGTGTGTGTGTGTGTGTGTGTGCATGTCTGCACATGCCTGGGGTGTTACAAATATATCTGACTAAATGAAGAGGGCTAATAGTGTGGGTAGAAGTTTGGCTCCCAGTTTTGTTACTTTCTGAGCAGTGTGACCCTGGCAAGTTACTTAACCTCTCTGGACTTGTTTCCGCACCTATGACATGGGAATGATAATAAGATCAATCTCAAATGGTTTTCCTTAAGGATTAAATGTAATGATAGAATGACTGTAAAACACTTAGGTGGTCAGTAAATAGCACACCACCACCACCATCATCATGTAGAGCATAT